CCATCCTTGGAAAAGCAGCCTTTGCCAGAGCCAGGAGAGCCGTCCGGAAGGCCAGGGGCGATTCGTTGGTGCCCCGACGCCGATCGTGGAACAGCTGCCTGCAGTCCGAAGGCGGCCCATAGACGGCTGACAGCAGCTGCAACGCCAGGTGTAGAGTGGCGCGCTTTTCCCTCGGCGCCGAGGTGAGGGTAGCCAGGGCGTCGTTGTCCAGCATCGCCGGCAACGCGCGTAGAGCCTCGGCGTCCGTCCAGTTCGCCATCTCTTGATGAGCGATGAACCGCCTCTGGAAGCCGCCCCAGTCTCCGTCTGCGCCTACGAATTCTTTTAGAGGCGGCAGACGCTGCTGTAAGGCGACGTCCGTGGCCCCAGCTCGCTCTCCGTCGCTCCCCGCCGATGATACAGTGTGGGCGGGCTGTGAGCATGGCATCGCCGGTCGCTCTGATGTTGACGCGCTGGCCGGTGTTGATGATGTCACGGCCTGTGCTTGGCGCTCAGCAGTCACGTGACGCAGGCCGGCCCCGCCCTCCGCTCGTACTGTAGTGATGGCGGGAAATTTAACCGCGAGCCGCGTCGGGGTGGCGGGAAACGTCGCCGCGCGTCGGCTGCCGTCGTCGACCCGCGCTGCCCCTCCAGCCCCCAGCCGCGTGATCTCCTCCAACGCGGCGGCCGCGGCGTAGAGCAGTTCCGCCAGGCGGGAGTGGGCCAGCCGGAGTCCTTCGGCCGACGCATCCCCCCCCTCTTGTCGTAGCGGCGCGGGCGTACTCGGCCCCGGCTGCTCCGACCCGACCCCGGCCATCTCTGGTGTTGATTCTGCCGCGGCGTCTTCCATCTCCGACTCCCTGGTACGTGTCGTCCCTCGTGTGTCCATCGTTGGACGTTTTACTTCTGACACCAGATGTAGTAAGTATATGGGAGGCTTGACTGACAGGATCGGAGGCACACTTGTTTATTACAACAACACAGTAATTACAGGTCACTTGGCTACAGGGATTCACGACAGCTAAGCCCTCTAACCTATACCAATTCCTCCACTACGGGGCTAGGGGAGGCTATCTGTCCCAGCCTGGTTAAGCTGGGATCCCGGCACCCTGAGTCACCAGACCAGCTTAGTCTGGGCTCTCGGGGCCACGCCACCGGCTTGCCCTGGTTGGCCCTTATGAGGACAGCGAGCCAGGGGAGCTCTGGGGCCTATTCTAGCAGGTCTTCCGTCTTCTCTGGTTAAAGCTGAGTCCCGACCTCGAGCCCTCGAGCTCATCACCTTTTATAGGACTGGCCCCCGAGGGGGGGCCCGTGGGGGATGCACCTGCGGACGTCGGTGCGAGCGCCACCCTTGTGTACGGCCGTAACCCCGCCCCTTGTGTTTGTTGGCCATCCGTGGCCATGCATAATCACACCTCAACATTCGTAGCCATGCGCAATTACACCTCTACATATGTAACTAATAAGGCTATGACGTCTCCTGGTCAAACCCCACTTGGCGGAGCAATGATATTGAATCTTCACCCTCGGGGATCCTCCAAAAACAACACTACCGATGGCCACGTGGAATGTTCAAACGCTCACTGGAGAGGAGAGGCTGCCACTCCTTTGTCGGGAGCTGGACCGGTACCGCCTGGATCTCTGTAGCATTCAGGAGGTCCGATGGGCCGGTTCTGGCTCCTGCCACCATGAAGGGTGGACAAACAATAGGGTGTGGCTCTTCTTCTGAACAAAAGAATGAAGGGGGCGTGGGAGCGTGGAGGTGAGGTGTGGGAAGCTGTAAGCTCCAGCAGGGGCGGTTTCTTCATTAGGGCGATTGGGCGACGCACCACCAATGTCATTGAACCACAGTCACGCTAGCCGTCACTGCAGCCTCTGGATATAGTCCAATCAGCGTCATGTCACGTTCTGTGGAGTACCGCCTCTTTTGGGGCGATTTCACTCCGGCTGAGAATCGCCCCGAGTGGCCCCATAGACTTACATTGAAAGATGTTTTTTTTCGAACGGGGGCGCTGCAATGCATTCTCTATGGCTTCCAGGAGGGCAAGCCCTAACGTGCTTACGTCATCATACGTGCTAACGTCATCATACGTGCTTACGTCATCATACGTAAGCACGTTTCATCCAACAATATAATTTATCGCTACCTAGTGGAATCTTTAATAAAATAAACTTGAGTGGTTTGTTTTAATAGTGAGTATATAAACAAACAAGATGTATTGTAAGAGTCACTTTATTTTGCATTAATATTAAAGAAGTGAAGTTGCCTTTACATGCTTAAGCTGTTAATTTATTCATTGCATGGGTGGACCTTATCCTTATCAATCATCCAGACATTTGCCCCCCCTGAGAGATTTTGCAGGAGCCGCCACTGAGCTCCAGGCTACTTTGGGCTCGCCTTCCCATCAACCGGAGGCGAGGAGTGGTGGTCGTGGTTACTTATGCCCCCACCGAAGACGAACATCCGTGGAGGGATGCAGGCAAAGCCAATGAGTCAGATGCCTTCTAAAGTGGCCACTCGGGACAGAGTCATCTTGTTGGGTGACTTCAATGCCCGAGTTGGTCATGATGCTGGCACCTGGTCTGGAGTGATTGGAAGGCATGGGCCAGATCAGCTCAATAACAACGGTAGGAGGCTGCTAGATTTTTGTGCAGCCCATGGGCTTGAAATTACCAACACGCTCTTTCGGCATCGGCGCATCCAACCAAGAACATCTGCTGGACTACATAGTGACGGAACAGTGGATGCGAGCCCATGTCATTAACACCAGGACCTACCGTGGAGCTGATCTGCCCTCTGACCATCGACTAGTCATCTGTAAGATGCGCCTGCCATTCTTCCACTCCGGTGGTGGGTGTACACCCAGGTCCCCTTCCAACCTAAAGTGGCCTGGTCTCAGTTAGCTGATGAAAGTTGTAAGCGAGAATTTCATCATCGCTTGCAGCTGGGGTTGGCATCGTCCCCCACTCCTCCTGATGTCGAGGGTAAATGGGCGAGGTTTACGACTGTGACTCATGCAGCTGCAATGGCTGCTTTGGGTATGCGGTCCAGACCTCCTCAGAAACCCTGGCTGACAGAGGAGGTGTTCAGGATAGTTGAAAAAAAGCGACAGGTCCACTCTCATCGGCTACAGCATCCCACGTCAGAGAATGAGGAGGCTTACCGCAGCCTTCGCTCGGAGGTTCGGAGAGCCATAAGGCGCTGCAAGGATGGGTGGTGGTCGCGGGTTGCTGAGGAGATGAAGTCTGCCTCAGTGGCCCGCGATCACAAATCACTATTTAACTCCATCAAAAAAGTAACCTGCAGCGCCACACCTATTACCATCATTAGGGGAATAAAAAGGTGATCCAATCTCCGACCCCCAGGAACAGGTTTGCAGATTTGCTGAGCATTTCTGTGAGGTCCTGGGGGAGGGGAAATCCCTCAGCCAGGAAAACATCATGGCACAAAGTGGGGATGACCCTGCTGAGGCTGCGGTGCCTCAAATATTGGAAGAGGTCACTCCCTGTGAGTGGTTGGCTGAGGTGCCATCTGTTGAGGAAGTACTGAAGGCGATCCGGAGTCTGAGACCAGGAAAGGCACCGGGCAGAGATGATCTCCCAAGTGAAATGCCGAGGGAGGGTGGCTTTTGTGCACAGACTGCCCTATATGGCATCATAACAAGTCTGGACCGCTGGACGGGTTCCGCAGGATTGGAAGGATGCCCTGGTGGTCCCCCTCTTTAAGAAGGGGGACCGACTGTAACAACTACAGGGGCATCTCACTCCTCAGTGTGCCGGGAAATGTCCTGGCATGGATTATTCAACATCGCCTTGCTAGGCACACCGAGGAGAGGCTTGCGGAGCTCCAATGCGGTTTCAGGAAAGGGCGGTCCTGCACAGATGCCATATTTTCTGTCCGTCTGCTACAGCAGAGATGTAGGAAATTTCAACAAGACCTACATCTCTGCTTTATTGACCTGATCAAGGCCTATGATACCATCAGTAGGCCTGGGCTCTGGGTTGTTCTTCGTGCTTTCAGAGTCCCTGACCCTCTGCTCACGATCATTAAGGACCTTCATGATGGTGAGCGGGCCCGGGTTAAACTACGTGGCCGGCAGTCAGAACCTTTCCTTGTACACCTTGGGGTGCGACAGGGATGTCCTCTGGCTCCCACATTATTTAACATCTATTTTGACCACGTAGTTCGTGAAGCCTTCAATAGCTGTACCGGGGGAATCTCCATTTGGTACAGATATAATGGGAGGCTGATCGATGCCCGGGTGCGATCAAGGGATGGCTCCCTATTGGTCAACCACATTACAGAGGGAAAAAAGTATTTGATCCCCTGCTGATTTTGTACGTTTGCCCACTGACAAAGAAATGATCAGTCTATAATTTTAATGGTAGGTTTATTTGAATAGTGAGAGACAGAATAACAACAAAATCCAGAAAAACGCATGTCAAAAATGTTATAAATTGATTTGCATTTTAATGAGGGAAATAAGTATTTGACCCCTCTGCAAAGCATGACTTAGTACTTGGTGGCAAAACCCTTGTTGGCAATCACAGAGGTCAGACGTTTCTTGTAGTTGGCCACCAGGTTTGCACACATCTCAGGAGGGATTTTGTCCCACTCCTTTTTGCAGATCTTCTCCAAGTCATTAAGGTTTCGAGGCTGACGTTTGGCAACTCGAACCTTCAGCTCCCTCCACAGATTTTCTATGGGATTAAGGTCTGGAGATTGGCTAGGCCACTCCAGGACCTTAATGTGCTTCTTTTTGAGCCACTCCTTTATTGCCTTGGCCGTGTATTTTGGGTCATTGTCATGCTGGAATACCCATCCGCGACCCATTTTTAAAGTTTGTGCACAAATTGTCATGAAACTAACAATTCCCTTTATAAAAAATATGTTCAGAATTTAATATTTAAAACATGTCAACCTTACCAAAATTATACATTGTTGGCAGTAGTTATATACCACCATATTCAACTTTAAAACCTGATGGTAGTCAAAATAATGTTTGCCCAGTATTTGTAAGTATTGTTAAATATTTTATTAAGAACCTTATAGTGGCACATCTAAGCAATGGAAAGCACAACAGATGCCTGTATGGGGATGAGATTGGGGATGCTACTTGCATAATATATCGATATGGGTAGTTCTCGACTTACAAACGGGTTCCGTTCCTGAGACCCATTCGTAAGTTGAACGGTTCATAAGTTGGAACACAATAATGTACTGCATTTATATGCACATACGGTCAATGTTATAAAATTGTGTTGCGGTTCACTGCCGTTGCGCATTATGGGACAAGTCTTCGGTTCAGTTCGCAAGTGCGACTTCACAAGTCGGATTGTTAAAAAATAATTCTCTTATGAGAGCTCAAACTTGATTTGAAGCTTTCATGACTGCAGGAATCCATACTCTTTGCAGCCGATCTATCCAGTGCTGCCGCGGTGGTCCACTCTACTCCAGTGACCCGCCTCCCCCCCCCCCCCTACTGCCGAGACCTATATAACCTCGTGCCACAGATCTCTCGCCGACTTCAGCAGTTTTTTCTTGCTGTGGTTGTCCCACCTGATGACGATTGCTTGTGTTGCGATCTAAACGTCGTGATCTATTATTTTTCTACCTACGTGACTTTACCGAAAGAACCAGAGTATTATGGAAGCTCGTTCGTAAGTGATGATGTTTGGAAGTCGGTGTTCGTAAGTTGTGGACTACCTATACTTAAGAATGCAGACACCGTGCAGCGAATTGTTTTTCTGGTTATGAGTAAATGGAGAGAGAAGTGTTGGTGACCACGTAACCATTCTCATGCATTTTGAAGATAATGAAATTAAGACGCAAACATTTTGTTCAATTTTTTTTTATGAACTAAATATGTTAATTCCTACTCCAGATTAAGGAGTATTGTCAAATGTTTTTTCAGAATTTGAAATTAAGTTATAAACATACAAACATTGTCCAGTATATTTATATAATTGTATGGTATACACTTTATATATTTTTACATTTTGAATGTATAACCTGTGTATCTATTGCACAAAAACAGCAATTTAGAAAAATCGGTATCCATTTATTATGGTAAACAAATGTTAAGTAGTTAAACATAAAAAATAGTTTCATTATTAAAAACTACCACGTAGGAAAATCTATTTTTTCTTTAAAAACTAAATAAAAATAACAAATTACAACTTACAGGACAAAGTTGTCATTGAATCAAAAGTTTAGTTACAGGATTATAGGCACATTCATAACATAAGCCCATTGTTGGAGTATGCACATCAGGGTTAAAGAATTGTAGAAAAAAAAGAGTAGCTTTACATTCAATTACAGCACCACTAATGTGGCAAAGTTGCAATTAATAAAAACAAGCGTATCATACAAAAATAAAACTCGTAATAAAAATTAACCAACAGACTGAAACGGCCCAGTCACAAGTCCACTTCTGTTGGCCACGTGTACGGTGAGACCGAAAGGAAGCCGTCATTCCAGCAAAGCCGCGGAGGTCTCCCGCTCCTATCTGTGGTTTCCGTATTTGGAAGCCCAGTCCGTGCGCCCATGGACAGGTTGCATTGGCTGCGTGCGCTGTATCAGCCCGGCGGAGGTTTTGGCTGCGGGGTTGTAACTCGGCCCCACCACTTGTTGCCGGCCCGTAGGCTTCCACGCTCCGTAGTCTGATGTGGGTGCGGAAAGACATAGGGAGACATTTATTTTACCTCTTGAATAAAACAACATTCAGGTGACATACTTTTAGTCATGCTGCTTGAAGGTGTAATTACAAAATACAATTGAAGATAATATTGTAGAAAAACAAGGCTACGATTTAGCACATCGTTAAGAATAAATGCTCACTACCGAGTGAAATTACTACCACTTTCCATGTTGGGTTGTACATGTACAGCCGTTTGTCAATCTATGGCTGGATGAAGGCCTTTCCATGCCATGCAGGTCGTAGGGGTTATTTGACCATATGTCACTGTACTGGCAAGTAAGTGTGGGCTGATGAAGGCATGTAGCATATTAATTGGGAGAACAAAAGAACATAGAATAGATTTTGCTACACTGTCTCACACAGTCATTGACCTGTTTTTTACACAGTGGTCATCCATCCAAGCACAATGCAGGTGTAGCGGGTTCCACGGAGACGCACACTGAATCTGGAGGCACCATGTTTATTACACAGTCCAACGGGGCTACTGCTTAACACTACTCTCGGTTAACTAGACCCCAACTGGGTCACTACGTAACTGGGTCAGCACTGTAAGTCTCCTGACCCACGGAACCTAAATAGAACTCAACCGAAGACCAAAAACCGAAGCGCCGGCACACGGCGAGTTCCCGCACACAGACAACCACGATCGCTCCGCCCCTATCCCTCTTGTCCTCTTGGGCGTGGCCTCGCTCCGCCTCCGGCTACGCCCCCCTGCTCGGTCTCTCCCGACGGAACGGGGCCAGCGTCACGTGTCCCTCAAGCCCCCCTTTTCGGGCCCCCTTCACGACCCCGTGCCGGTAACGTCCCCTCTCTCTCTCTGCGACTAGACCCTGCCCTCTAGAGCCCGCTTCCCTGCCATGTCTCCGCCGGTGCCAGTGAGAGGTACGTAACATACACATACATGCCATAGAGGCTCTATTTACGTCTCTACACAGGCTCAACCAGCTTGGCCTCTGAGATATAAGATCGGGTGCATGTCAGGTGGTTTAGTCATAGGCTGGGTGCTATCCAGTTATATCTTGCTCTGAACAGCATTTTACTCTGATTATGGGAGATGCACTTTGACAAATGGCTTGGCACGTACTGGAGGTTGGTCCTGCGACTGGTGCCAGCTGAACTCTTTGGCCTGCAGATCCCACTTCCTTTTTTTGGAACGATGGGATGTAACCGCTTACTGCATTGTAAGAAGGACCTGCAAATGCTTAAAAACACAACAGCCAGTCATGTGAGTTGTGGATATAATTTTTTTCATTTTTATAAGCTTAAAAAAGGTCAAATGTATAATAACGGCAGTTTTTTTTTTAACCAGAAAATCCTCAGTAGTCATGTTTACTTATCCAGAGGGTGCAGAATCGATGCTGACAACAATGAGCAGTGCCAGCCGACTAAAACACAGCAAGCTACCACAGTGGGGAGTACAGGCGGTGCATCTGCCAGTCATTTCAGCCATTTAAACCTTGGGTCTGTGCACATGTATTCTGGTTTCATCCCACTCACAAAATATTCAATAAGGAATTGGCCAAACATACCAATAAAATATCTTCAAACCAAGTGAGGCTTCCTGATTACAAAACAATATGATTTAGCAATACATTGATTAAAACTGGTTAAGCTCACATTCTTTGCATCACATTGTGTGGGAATTGATCATATATAACTATGCATATTGTATGCTAATATATCACACATTTCAATTAATAAATTTATAAACACAATTTGTAAATACTGTGAATATTCAAACAAGTTGCAGCCTTACTCAAAAGTTAAATTGTCTCCATACTCGAATGGGTACTGTATTGGGCAATTCTCATTTCCATGGGTGGGTGTGATCCACTTTTTTAAGTTACACATTTCTACGGCAAGGGTGTGTCTAAACAATCCACACGCATCACCTGCATTTGTCCTGTTTAAGTTCATTCCAGCGACAACTCCCATAGGCTTGCTCGAGTAACCTCTGTCTTTACTCCACGGGCTTTCTACATCTCGATTCAGATTTCCATTTGCTCCAGTCTTTGTGTTTATACCTGCAGGAATAGTAAATGTCAATTAGAAAACCAGCCTCTGTCATATACATTGGCAAACAATTAAACAGTTCTCTTAGTTAATGTGGAAATATGGGAAAAGTATCACATCCAATCATAAGCACACATACAAAGAAAAAAAAATGTCACTTCCCATTTTATGACTGAATTTATCGAAACAAATTCTGCTAATGTTTACAGTAGAATGTACCTTTCTGATATGTAACATTGCATTTTTTTTTAGAAAAATAAAGCTACGATACAACGGGTAATAATTATTTCAATTGGGTCATCCAAATTTTATTTTTTTAACGTTGACCTAAACAAGTGAGTTATGAGAAGGTTATCAAGGGTGCTGAATATAAAGATGAAAATATAATATATTGTAGAGAACTGACATTTTATGGTACTCTTTGAAAGTGTGTAAGCAGTAGCCCATAAGATATATATCTAATTGTTTTATTCAGGCAGCTTATATTGTCACAAATATATCAAAGTATGAGCTGAAAACTATCAAAGTCAGAAAACTAATAGTTTTTATATTAGACCCCTTAGTAATGAGTTGCTAAATTAGTTTTTTACCTTTACCATGTTTGATCCCAGGCTTACGACAGTTTGTATGCAATTGTAATCAAAGGCAGTGATTCAAATATGATGTCATATAAAAAAGAAAAGAAAAACTAAATTCTGTAAATTTGTATTTTAACAATAACAAAGTAATCAGCATGTAGACGTGTGTTTGACACCTGGAAGGTAGCGTGACTGGCGCAGGTAATGCTGTCTGGCAGAAGATGCAGAGTCCAGTTGCTTCGCGGTGTTCTTGCTGCCAACTGGGAAAGCGTTTGGGGGCTTCTGTTCTACAGACCTGCAAAAAGGCATTTCACACACGCTTTATGGAATTGAAAACATTAAATTTGATAGTCAATGTAAAGTCAGCATTTCCATGCTGAAATTAGCAACCATCATTTTTCAGGAAAGTGCCACACGAAGTAGCATATAGACGGGCCATCATCTTCAAAATGTGTAACTTATACTACCCCGTGCTCAGAAAGACTGTGCTGCTTAACTTCCCACCCCAGATAATAAACAATAAGCAGCAAAAATCTAATTTTTATGACAAAGTATATCACATTACCCAAACAGCGTGTCCTCGCCAAGGCTCTTCTTGTTGCGTGGGAGAGACGGCTTCCTGCCGAAGTTGGTGGAGAAGTCCAGGTCCTCCAAGTCATCCCACTGCTCAGCATTCTTGAGGTTGGCCTGGCCCCAGCGCCTCCGGCCACCCTTTAGCCCCACTGCTCCCATGTTCTCGTTCCCCGGAACTGGGTTCTGGTAGGAAGCAAGTATTCAACACTTCTAAACTTCCAAGCTAACCTTACTGTTCACTTGAAACAAGTTATGTGGCATCAATCGACTGGTGGCTACCTTGTACAGTACAGCCCTTCGTTAATCCACACAGGATGAAGGAAGCCTCCCTACACAGTGCGAGTTATGTGGGTTGTTTGACTATACTTCACCACACCTGTCAGTGATTTGGTGAAAGTAAAAGGGAGCCAGGATCACTCATTACTGACATTATTTGTGGCTAGGAATCAAACTCAGATCGCTGGGTTCTTAGTGCAGGTTGCTAACCAATCAGTCACGACTCCACCCGTGGGCGGTTGGGTGCTACCTTACTGATATAAATGGCAAAAATGTTGATGAACTAATAATTAAATTAATTACCTTGTAGGATGTATGTATGTTTAACTTTTTTTGCACCGTACATAGCCAACCGTGCTAATCGGATGTGTGGGCTTGACCAAAACCTCAAGCGTCTTCAGACAAAACCCTTTGCTGTGTGCAACTGCCTCATGGCCTCTCTCGGGCAACTAAGAGGCAGGTTTCTGTGACAAGCAAACAGCCAATCGAATACCACTAACCGGATTAGGATTATTGTTGACGGTGGGTATGAGGCCCAGCCCAAGATTCGGAGGGTCCGCCGTGTAAGTGGGCGGTGGTGGGTATGCGGGAGCGTGTGGAGCGACAGCTGGGAGCTGGGATGGCTGGATGGGCTGGAGTGGCTGGGTTGGAGCAGGCGGCTTTAACGGCTGCTCCGAGGGTTGCGCCTGGTGCTGTAGCGGCTGTGGGGGTCCGAGAGCTTGTCCCACTTGGAAGTACGGGTACCGTAACGACTAGGAAAAAAAACAAAAGCACAAAGCCTGAGATTGAGTTGCAAATGGTGGCAGGTTCTTTTGGAATTAATCAAATTGTAGGTGAATTAGGCAAGCAACATATGCAAATTATTAGATAAAACATGCATGACTATCAATTACAATTGATATTTACACTCATGATGCATGTATCAAATTGTTTATGGAGCAATACATTATTTTAGATTATTATACTTTTTACACAAATCGGTTCACGTGATGCCTGTTGTTAGTGAAGGCTGCTATATCCACTGTCGTAGAATATAAAATATTTCTAAATCGAAACACTATCTCAAAGAGCAACTATTCATTTAATCTTGAGGAGGATAGGTAGATACTGGTCAAACAGGCACAGTCCTACCTTTGCCTACTAAAACGTGCAAATTACAAAAACATTTGATAATATTACGTATAAGAAATATTAACAATGCTTTTATACCGATATTTAATTAAGAGAGTATACAGTGCAAAATGACAAAATCCCGAGTTGACAATTGTGCTCAGATTTGAAATGGAAACGTAATATACGAATTTTACAGTAGAGGGCATGAAAGCGTTGTTATGAGCCACATTACTTAACCACAACATTAAGGACAATTTTTATGCAGTTGTAACGGGTTCCGGAGACACTTGTAGATGTAACTTCTTTATTACAATACAACACTCCAACAGTCCTGATACTCTGTTACAGCCTAGGTACACAGCCTAGCTACACAGCCTAGATACTCTACTCTGGCTATGCTCTGGAACTCGCCCTCACAAGGTCGTAGAGTCGGGAGTTCCAGAGTCCCACCCCTGGGGCTCACAGCATCCCAGGGTCTTCAGGCTGGTCGTGGGTCTTGGGTCTTGAGTTACAACTGGGCCCCGATCGTCCAGGGAGCTCTCCTTTTATGCCTGATCCAACGAGGGGTGGGGCCGTGTGCGCCACCAGACATCCCACAGAGCACAGACAGCCCCCCCTTCGTTGGCGGCGCCCAGGGGATTAAGCGCCTGGGAACTCAACGCCTGGCGCCCAGAGGCTTAAGCGTCTGGACCCCCTGGGAACCCAGTGCCTGGCGCCCAGAGGCTTAAGCGTCTGGACTCACCTGGGATCCCAGAGCCCCCAGCAGCCCCTCCCTTCTTATGTCACTACACAGTCAAACACACACTATACATCATCGCAATCTAGGTTAACATATGAATAACAAACCTGCACAGCATTTGGCCTCTTCTTAGGTTCCCAATGGAGCATGTCACGCATGAGATGAATGGCCTCGTTGCTGGCATTGGGTATAAGTGTTTTCAAGTTGGTTGGGACACACTGAGGCCAGCGGAAGTTCATGGCTGCCGCCAACTGATGTCCTTCCGGCCAGTCAGTCTGTGAAGCGAACAAAACAGAAAGACTTTGTGATATACATGGATAATAAAAACAAATAGTATTGTACAAACAAACAAAAGTTTGTGCAATAAGCTTTGAACTCTACTCGAGTTCCATTCGAGTCATGGCTAACATCGGTAGCAGGAGAAATCTGAACTGGTCATGGGCCCCCAATTGTTCACAAACCCCATACTGTGAAGTTTGAGAAAACAATCCGCATAGCAGTCGTGGCGCGGGGAGGGCTTTATCCAGTCACTGACTGACAATAGGGCCGCATACTATTATTGTCTTACATCAATGTAGAACTCTGCAGTGACCCTGTGGCAGTGCTCATCTCCGTTGGCGTTCCTGACCTATTGGTGTAAATCCAATATTCCTTTCTTGGGAGCAGTCTACATTTGATAATCGGACAACCATAATAACTTAGATATTTTTAATATACAAATATCAATTCACAATAACTCTCACACTGTAAAAGAAGATAGCGGTATAACCATGATATGTCCTCGACAAGTCACTGGTGGCGCATGGGCCTCCATTAGAGCGAGCTCTAGAAAGCCCCTCTGGAAGGTATTTGGCTTTGCCTTCCATGCTGCCCAGACTTACTGGAGTTTTTGGAAGACGTCGGCAGACCGACACTTTACCCACCATGCACAGCCTGCCATGGTGTACCCATGCATGCTGTTGGGTGGACAGAGGTGGTACGGAGGACTGAATAAACTTGCCCCGGTTTTCACCGCTGCGCCGGGAGATACAATCAATCTGGTGACCTCTGGAATGTAAGTCTAGTGCACTAAGTTTTACATCACAGCAACATCCTCTCAGGCGCTAGGCAAATGTAAAAGTGTTACATCTAAAAAAGTATCACATCCCAAAATGAAGTATTTACAGAAACATTTTCAACAATAGATTACAGTTGAAAGTATCAAAATAAGTAATGGTGCAAAGAAACATGAAAAGTGTATACAGCAAACTCAACAGCCCCAAGCAGTGCATGACATTAACAAAAATCTCACCTTTTTAGGAGTGCCAAGCACCTGGCATATCTTGAAGATCTGGTCAACCTCGCTTGATCCGGGAAAGAGTGGGCGTAACGTGTAGAGTTCGGCCATGATGCAGCCCAGGGCCCAAATGTCGATAGGCGAGCTGTAGCTGGTCGAACGGAGCAGGACCTCTGGGCCCCGATACCTGCAGATAGAACACAGTGTTATGACATCGACACATCACATCTTAGGCCAGTGGAACAACAAGCAGACAGTAAGGACAGACCTCTCACGCGTACCCCACAAACAAGACCACATCCAACGAATACTCAAACAAATACGTGATTGCTGCAACTGGCTCCAATCCCAGACTAATTTAAAGATCACACTTACGTCTTCAAGATTCTCCGTGGACTAACCATTGCCTCTATCTCCTTATATTCTCCTCCACACACTCTCCTATCTCTCATCTTATGACTTCTACCCTTGCACTCTCCTTTGTCTCCCCTCTGATTTCACTCTTATCCTCCGCACACTTTCCTACCTCTCCCCTTCTATCTCACTCTACTCCCTTCCACGCATTACTCCGCTCCAGAAAACCAAGACTTTAGAAGTTTCCAGACAACCTTTGGTCAGTGGGAGGTCACTAATGATCTTATTCTGCCCCAAAGTCAGGAACTTTTATTTCCCCTGCCTATCACTTCCTCTCAATAGAAAATAAATACACCAAATATATCCGTATTTTTTTTTGAAAATGCGGTTGCATGTAGATGCTGTATAATTGTAGCTGTATTTTAGTTTTGTAATGTATTAAATGTATCACAGGCACAAGGGATGTTTCAGCACATGACTATGTGCTGTGACCTGCACATACAATGTGCGTCTCAGAGAAAATAAGGTCTTGAATTATATCGAATACATGTGGGGGAGGACTTAAAAATATACTCATTAACCTTTATGCTATGAGTGGTGATGCATGGCTGTAATGCAGCACTTTTCATGCGATGTTGGTGAATTACACATTTCAATTGCAAGTCTATGAAGTGGCCAATAGAAACGGTGCATCAAGTGAGTTGCTGACCTACTTGTATGTATTTTTGAGTGTTTCATATTCATGTTTTTTCATTCTACGTACACGATTTCCTCATGCTTACATCATATTCAACAGGAATTGGCTAAAAAAAAAAACATTTTACGATAAAAGAATCTTGAGAGTATGTAGCTAATGTATGTTATTATTACAATATCATGAAGTGAATGTGGGCCTTCACAAAGTAATACGTAATTAAAGCAACACAGATGGAAAGAAAGTACCGGATTTCAAGGCTGCCATGACATTTCGTGATTTATTCTTAACGTTGGACACTTTGTACCCTCCCAATCGTTCTCACGATCGGGCACGCATTTCACACTGCATTAACTTAATGACTTTTTATACTATGTACCCAAGATCCAATAGACGGGACATTACACACTTAGTAAGCCTTACACTCCGATTACACAGAGGAATAATTGGCTACAATTGAACCGAAAATAAACCATCTGTCAAGGGAAAATGTATACTTGAAGGCAGTAAGAATATCAGGAAAAATGGGATCGGGCAGGACGCGTTATCATGTGCACCAACAGGTGATTGCACACAAACACGTCCACGTTCACGTACACCTCTTGTTCTCTTTTAGCCCCGCCCCCACCCTCCCAATACGTTCCATTCATTGGCTACCACATTCTGATAAGCTCCCCCCCCCTCCTCCCCCTTAACTTGTATTTAAGAACCTGCATCTTGGAATCCCTGCCTCACTTGATACAGCAAATCTAGCTATGACGGTCCCACCTGATGACGGAGACTTGTGTTGCCTCCGAAACGTCGTGATTTTTATTTTATTTTTATTTTACTTTTATTAATTTTAATTTTATTACCTATACGTGACTTTACCGAAAACACCTAAGAATATGAATCCTTGCAGTCACGAAAGCTTCAAATCTAGAAATGATATAGCAAGCAGACCATAATAACAAGCGTGGCAGCCAAAAGAGAAAACGCGCCCGCGAAAGGATTTCCACCACAGAGATAGAGCAGCAATGAAATCAGCTCCTGCAGAAGTGTTAGGTGGATTGTTACATCGCAGAACCATGATAGATGGTGACAGCTTAAGGAGGCCTTTATCCAGCAGTGGACTGATATTTAACTTAATGTAAAAGAAACACAGACAGCAAAAATTAACCCGTAAAAACAAAGTTTTTCACTATAAATCCTTTATATGCGTGGCGGCTAGAGTCCTCTCGTCCTCTGGCTTGAGATGGCTGCCACCTATGGGTCAGATGATTGTCTGCCAGTATTAAGCAATTGGTAATTAAATATTTAATTTGTTTTCCCTAAACAGTGTAAAATTTTGGAAAAAAAATTTCACGAACATTAATTGTCTCGCACAACGAGTCTGTGTGCAAAATGTCAGCTCGATTGGATCACGGGAAGTGGGTTAAAAAACGACCGAAAGATTTGCACGGTCGTAAGCAAGCAAGCAAGCACGCAAGCAAGCAAGCAAGCAAACTTAATATAAAGGATTTAAAAAGAAAACCAATGAGGAATGACTTGTTGAGTTTATTAAGTTGTCTTTACAAAGTTGCCCAGTATCATATGACAATGAAAAATATAAAAGAAAACCCTCAAAAGGTATTACAATTTTTTTTTTACAATGATACAATGAAACTATGCTTTCCCTAGATGTAATTATTGGACAATTTTTTTATTACATAACAATATTCTAAAATTAAACACACTGCGTGCACTACAACAACCTTAAAGAGTACCAAAAAGCAAACAATTAGTATTTACGCTTGGCGCAGTGGGCTCACTTAGCATGGAAATGGTCAGAGCTCACCATCTGGTGGAGACATAGTCCGTGTAGGGAGGTCGGGAACGTATTTCTCTTGCCAGTCCAAAATCAGCAATCTTCACGAGCTCCGGCCCCATGCACAACAGATTCTCAGGTTTCATGTCACGGTGAAAGAAGCCTTAAAAAAACAATTACATGATTGATAATGTACATAAATCCTTCCCGAAATGAGCTTTTCGCATCCGCGGTATCTATGTATCCATGGTTTTCCTTTGCCATACCAATTTCCACACTGCGGTATGGAGTTTTGTGCATCTGCAGTTTAGCACGGCTACCGGCACTTGAAATTTCAAATCACCCACATCTGTGTTCCATCCGTGCATCGTCCCACCTCCCAGCTCCCACCACCGCTCTCTTCCCACCACCAGGTGGAGGTAGAGGGTGGGTAAAGCCCCTCTTCCTTCTTACATTACCTCATCACCAATGTCATCGTCATCACCATGGACTTGAACCCTCAGTATTAAAGGAAAATGACATTATTGTATTGTTTACAATTATGTTAATTGGACATTTTTTTGTTATGTCATTGTGTTTTTTATTTGTGTTTAGTGAAGGAACAGGAAACTTAGGCTTTGACGAGTGTGACCGCAGCCACGGTTGCCCTAACCCCTTATTTCCCAAAAGGCCTTAGTATTGCCATCCCCGGGTTTGCCAACTGCGGCGGTTTTCAGGAACGTAACCCCCGCGGTTGGCGAGGGATTGTTATATACATAATAAGTGTTTAAGCTCTATCCGTGCACTCACGCACACCTGTACATTTATTTTACGTACAGTAGTTCATCATCTTAATTGTTGTTCCTGGTCATGTGCAGCTGAAATCCATTTGCACACGCCAATCAAATAATCAGTTTATCTATGGATTAGGAACGTGGAATTTTCACAATTGGCTCAGGGCTGTAAACAGGAGATGAGCATAGAGGTGAATGCATCCCTTTGCATTGGCTTGAGTGTAAGAATACTAACGTTTAGGTCATTACTTTCGTCATGCAGGTCTCCCGAGGATGTTTTGACATCTCCAGTTTTGTCTGTTAATTTAAAGCATTACTCTTCTACGGTCAGGCCATATATGAGCCAACTTTCATCATTTGTAGCAATATGATCCTGATGGATTGGATAAAATGTTACGTCTACTCTATAAGTAATAACATTCTTTCTTTTTTGATAAATTCCAAGTGAGTGTCTTCACACAAAAACATGAAACAAAAATCCCCCTTTTCAACTCTTGGTGCATTACAATTGGTACTTGGTGATATAATGCAATACGTAGAAGTGCAGGTGAAAATTCAATGTAGATTTTAAAAATATCCATCCCCTTTCAAGCTCTGGGGACCTTTTGCTAATTGTTGTTGTGGAGGGTCTATTATTGGCTTTATTCGTAAAAGAGAAGCTGGGGATTCGTCATGACACCGTTGCCTCCTGGTTACTTTTGTTGACAACAATGGAACAACATTTACTTTTTTTTGTAAGCATAGTTAATTGAGGGGGTCCACACCAAGGAAAGGTATATATGTCCACTGATGTCTAAAGCTACAAATTGAGTCAATTGAAGCTCACGAAAACACAACTTCTTCTTCCATTGACATTTCCGCTGCACCACACCCAATGCATGGCTTTCATTTTCGATGTTAATATAGTTGGGCAGTTTATGTGAATCACCGTGTTATGTAGCTGTCACAGCACAGGCATAAAACACATTACAGTCGACATTTTATGATTCAACATCCTCGTCAAAGGATGCTATTTGTGCACATCGCCTCCAATGCACACATCCCTAGTGATTATTGGTGGTGGAGCAGTGGAAATGTTGACAGCACATTCATACAGGGGCATAGGAGTCAGAGGCTGTGAAAATACATCAGCCACCTGTCTGTTCAGATTTTACTCATGTTCGAGTTAATATTTGTTTTTATTGTGCAAATACTACACACTTTACTATGTTGTATTGGTAATTGCATACCATGCTTGTGGATGAAAGCCAGTCCTTGTAAAATCTGGTACATGATGTTTCTGATCATGGACTCAGGAAACAACTTGTTTCTGCAAAACAAACATAAAAAACACAGCATCAGCCAACATCAGCCAGCCTGCAATGATCTCAATAACCCAGTGCAGTAGCTCTATGCACCACTCAAAAAGCCTGCATGGAGTGATGTTAACATAGATATTCTACAATATCGATGAATGTTTCAAATTCAAACTTGCGATCTAATACAAAATGGCACAAACTCTACAGAATGGTTGTGTTCAACATTAATCGTCACAATAATTAAAAAAAGAAAATAATTTTGCTCTGCAAATAGAGTGTATAATAAAGTGAAACCTATCGGGTAAACTCTTAATTATTACACGCTTTTTATTAACTCACTCTGTCTGTGGTTGTTGTCCTTGTATCCTCAAATCTTGTAACTCAATTTTTACCCACTTCCCAATGTGGTATCGACTACAAACTTGGTATACTTATGTCATACTGATGACAACACTATATTCCGTCATAAAAAATAAAAACCATACATTTTAAAAACATTATTTTTGATATGTTATGTTTCGGCTTGGCTCTAATTGTCCACGGTAAAATGACGTTGGCTATAAATGAAAACGGTCCCTTACGTTATGGCAAGCTTGGGGGGCCCACTTCCTGGAGTCGTGGAGTTCTGCCATTACTAGTACGGTACATTTCATTAAAGCGTGTTGTTTAAAACTTTTTTAAAATATTATTTATTGTGTTTCATTGGCATGGCTTGCGCCGCTGGCCCAACCCTTGGTCTGGGTCGTCACACCCCTCCCCTACTCCAAGTCCCACAAAGTTACGCACTGCACATTCACACTGAAGAGTCATTCACTCCCAGGAATGTTGCACGCCACTCGTGTTCGGAACACCACAGGCAACAGCCTCAGTCGCCAAACACAAGCCACAACGGGCACCGTTTTGGCAGCTCCCCTCTAAATATGATGACGCGGTTTCACTAAAAGGAGAGCTAAATAAAACATGAAATTCCAACAACAGCGATATTTATTTTTTCACGACTGAATGAGCGTTAAAGTAAGTTTAGACTTGAATAACAGCAAGAAGCTGTGTGCATATTTTATGAATGTACACACAAGCTTCATCAAGCAAAATTGATAATTATATTGATTTCAAAACAAGGTGAGTGTGTGCCAAGGAAATTATTCTTTTTTTTACAGCACAAATTTCACTGTATACACAATAGAATGTAAACAAAAATGGGCAGTGCAAAAGTCACCAGAGCATGTTTGACACCACGATATATAATGAGCCTATTTTACCTAATCAATAAAGTTGGGCAACGTATTTCTATCTAGAGTACAGTACTAATTAGATCACATTGTGCTCAAGAAAAAGTCACGTGAAAATGTTACAAATGATGAGCCATCATCTTCAAAGTCTCTACTATATCTGAAATGTAGAACTACCTAACTACAGAACATACATTTGTACTGCGTTTATAATATAATTGTAATGAGTGTGCTCATTATGTTTTTAAATAATAATAATAAAAATTGGCTCTCCCTCACTCTCCACCTCTCCCCATTGATCACACCTCTTTGGACTTCCCCCCACTCTCTGCATGCAACTGCCACCACTGGATGGAGACTGACTCATTCCACTCTAGTCATCTGCCTAAATTGTGTGATTGTGCAATTAGCCGTTGCAATTACTCCTATCCCACTGCCGTCAAAATACAGCTCTCTTTAATCATACACCAGTGTTTCCCTGCACAACTGTTATATATAGAAACAATGTATATGTATGTAGTATTATTATAATTGCACACTCCAACGATAATACTATTGTATAGAAAGCCACGCACACTGTTCAAGAGGTTTATCCATTGACCCCCTTATGGTTAAACTGTTCAGATTCAAGGTCACTAGTCAATAATTGTCATTAACATGGTGGTGAATATAGATAGCTTGAGTGGCTACAGGGGTTTGCAAGAACCCACGAAATACACCACACGAATAAAAATAACTAATTCGTAAACACACAATTTGATGCATGTAAAGGGTATTCAAAAAGCTAATGTACCAAGATATGGTGTCACTTTTTGTACAATTATCTTGATAATAGTTTAAACTAGAAAAATGGGCCTTGATATTTGATGCCGATTTTAATAATTTTGACATAAATACTTGCGATACAAATAAAGGTCAAACAAAAATAATATTGCGTAACTATTTTGGAACACAAAATGTAGGCAACCCCCATATTATCAACTTTAAAAATTACGTGAATATATGCATCACTGCTCCTCGACTGCTCCGCCTTGTGGCATTGCAGTGGTCAGTGGTCAGGTGAGAGTGTTCATTCACAAACCTGTCTTTCATCAGCTGGTAGAGGTTTTCCTTCATGTATTCAAACACAAAGTAGAGGCAGTCGTTTTCACGAATCACTTCCTTGAGCTTGATGACGTTGGCATGATTGAGCTTCTTTAGTGACTGCCCATTGTGAAAGAGCAACATGAGCCATTAGACATTAAAACACTATACGCTTAACGTGCTAATTAAAGTGGAGATTCGGTCGCTCATTCACCGCCCAACTGCTGCTATTCAATCCCACTGGCTGTCTGCCAAGAGCACAGATGGACACACTTGTATGTGTCCAGCAAAACATGGATTATATTTTGAAGCTTACCTAAGGAGGCAACCACAGTGATCACTGTGCACAGAACCCAACGACATGTGCATTTGTTTACAGTTTAAACATTTGATGGATGGTTACTATTAGACATGCATAATATATTTTTTTTAATTTTCCAACAAGAATGCACTCCAGGCGTTCTAGAAGGCCCCAAGCTTATAGGGAATGCTAAAAAAATTGGCCACAAAGAATGTCACACGCATCAGTGAAAAAAGAAATGCAAAAACAAATGTGTGCGTACCATTCTCTGCTTTTCAAATAAATCATTGTCATCCTTAGTATGTGTTTCAGCACAGCACTGGTTTTAGCCCCAAGGGATTGGTGGTGGCTCATTAATTCTGTATAATTATCTTTGAGTCTAACATATGCATTGCATAACAACAGAACATACATTATCACATAATAATAAAAAAATATATAATACTTAAGAGCAAATATATTGTATGTTATACTGATAATCATAATTTAAAATATTTCAGAAAATCTTATTCATAATCAAATGACTTTAAAAAATATTCTTTGGGTCTTTCGGTAAAGTCACGTAGGATGGTTCAAAGAAAAGAACAAAAAACTACGTTTCAATCACAACACAAGCGATCGTCATCAGGACGAAAGACCCAAAGAATATAAATTCCTGCAGTTACGAAAGCTTTAAGTCAAGATTTGACTTAAAAAAAATTACACTAAAACATTTCATTTACATTGCAATTAAATAATTGTCATTTGTAAAAACAAACATTGCTTATCCTGGTTATAAACAACAGGTACATAAACCTTTCTATCCAAGTTAGCATCCTTTCAGCAGACATGTTAACATTGACTGTACAAGTATTCCTAAAATTGTATCTGCCAGCTTCTTAAATGCAACAAATAAAAGAACCCATAACCACAAATGTATTTTCAGGTTATTTTGACATTTGCTCTGGGCCCTCTACTTAGAGCTTTACCCAATTATATCGTCTGGATGCACTTGGTGTCTTGGCTCAGAAAGGAGACATTCTGTTAGCATCATGCCCAGACAGCTTTATTCTACATCCATCAACTTTAGGATCAAATCTCAATTAAAATGATGATAATGCTGGCTTCATAATGGAACAATGGAATTGGAGTATAGCTTCAAAGTCACTATGTTATATGCCTTTGAGTACTTTATACATACACTGTCCATGTATGTTGTAGGTGGCCTGACACTGTCCTCATAATGCAAGCTCTGCAAATTCAGTTGATGGAAAGTAGAAGGCATGACCAATTGATGTTCCACTCCATGTAGTAAGGAGCGACTGGATTAAAGCCAACACAGTAAGCGTTGCTTGAACCATCTGCTCTTTGCTAGTACCCTTGAAAATGAATGAAGCGAGCACTGCTGCCATTTGCTTTTAGGTACTAAACAAATATCTACAGCAAAAACAAGATAAATGTGAAATGTTCAAACACAGCTTGGCTAGTTCGTACGTCATTAACTGTAGGTCAGCCATGCCACTTATCATTCCCCCAGTTTTAGCTGCGTTGGATGCACAAATGATTCCCTCCATTGCACTACGATAGTTTTATTCGCACACCAGCCAGAAACCCATTCCAGAATAGGGAAATCCAACTATTGTAGAAACAAAGTAGTGAATGGAAAATGTGAAGCTGCAGGGAAAAATTAAAACTGCAATTTTAAGGGTGGCACAACGGGCTTCCTTGTAATCTCTGGAATTAGATAACTGTATTAACATGACTTTATTCCACAAAACTAAAAAAAGAAATCAAGATATTTTAAGACATACATTTATCAATAATTTAATTAATAACTTCTTCCTTACATGTGCAACCTTTGGGACATTATATTAAACAACTGTATTACTGCGCTTGTTTACTCAAAAAAAGCCTCACTGAGACTTATGACTCTTATTCAGGAGGGTCCTGCCAAGTTTTCGCAGTCGGGGGCGATGACTGCTATGTATATTCCAAACGAGTAATTACATATACTATACAGGCAGTCCTTTCACTAAACGAAGACCCGACTCATGAACACCCATACTTACGAACCGGCCTCCAGGAGATATTTTTTTTAAGATCGACTTGGAAACTCGCACTTGCGAACTAAACCTAGCAACTATTTTGTTCAGCAGAGCAATCCTTCGCGAGATGTAATGAGTGTTTGTGTGTGCCCGCACGTACATGTATGTGTGTGGAAGTGAGTGTGCATGTGAGTGCGTGTGTGCCCCCGTGTGTGGTTAGCATGCTGCGCTACCAACCCAGCAACCTTACTTCGATTCCCACTCATGATCAACACCAGTGACGATTATCTGAATGGGTCCTGGGCCTCCCCTCGGTTGACTCAGCCTCAAATGAATACCTGGTGCAGTGTGTAAACATCGCCACTGGGGAGTCAAAGGCGGCCGGGCGTGGTACTGGCCACTCACCACCCTTCATAGGTGCTGCTCGCTAACAGCACTTGCCCCAACAGTCTGTTTAGGCTATCGGGGCGGGTCATTGGCATTGTGTGCATGTGTGCACACACACGTGCCCCCGTGTGTGTGTGAAATTGTGGGGACTCATTGCATCCCTTCTGAGAAGCAAGCCAGCATCAGGGCTCAAGGGAAGTGAAAATAAAATGTGATTTTTTTCTATTCATGTTACTTTATTTTTTTTATTTACTATACAGTATGTATTACAGTATTAAATGCAAATGTACTATATGTATTTATGAGTTTAACAATGCTTCTCTTTTTTGTTGAACCGTAACACATTTTGTTTTTTAACACTGACCATATGTGCATTTATATACGGTGTATTATCGTGTTCCGACTTACAAACCGTTCGACTTACGAACGGGTCTCGGGAACGGAACCCGTTTGTAAGTCGAGGACTACCCATATAGTTTCTCATATAGCACAAACAGGTAAATACATTCAAACTAAAAAGCCTTGTCAAACAATAAATCGCCTAAGATGTCTATGAGTTTCCAAATTTGTACCATTCCTCACAGTGCCTCTTCATACAATACGTGTATACCGGGGTTTAAAAACAAACCCTACAATGTTTTATGGTCTGTTTGAATGAAGGCTTCCCTGAGCTACTGTGACTACAAACACGTAAAATGGCCTTTCATGCAGTACAGTAGAGACAGGCTGCACCAGTGAAATTGGGGAGGAATGCACTACTCCCCCTGGCTGCAATAAAACCTATATCGCCAGCAGCAATATCAGACATTTACAAGCCTGGGCTTGCATGGCTGGAAAAGAAATATTGCAAGCTTCACTTCCTCGATTTGCTGAATGCAGAAGGGCTTGCTTGGAAAACAAAATGGCCACCTTTTAGACATTGTTACACAACTTTAGAAACATTTCACATGGCTGACATAAGTTATTGGGAACAAATCACATTAATTTATAACAACGTTACCTTCATTACCTATTGCAGACAAATATTAAAAGTTCCACTTAATTAATTGCACTAATGAACTGTTTAACAACGCAATATTGCTAATGTTCAGCTTATGCATCCTATAGAAAGGTTTGCTGTAAAAAGATACACTTTAATTAGTTTATAAATGCCAGTCTTCTTTATATATATTAATTAAAATATGTATACATACTTTTTGGGTCTTTCGGGAAAGTCACGTAGATAGAAAAATAATATATCACGACGTTTCGATCACAACACAGGCATACCCAAAGAGTATGAATTCCTGCAGTCACGAAAGCTTTAAATCAAGATGTGTATGCATATTACATATCGTGTAACGTACGGTTTTAAAGTTGCTATTACATTATTATTGTTTAAAATCAGTGGTAAATTGCTTTAAAAGTGCAACTGCCCAAAATACATTTGACCATAATCAAAGTAGAATGGATATCTATGCCAGTTACGAGAAGTCAGAATGATTGTTGTTTTGTACATTTGTGAACAATAAAAAATACTATGCAAATATTGTATCAAGAATTCAAGTAATTCAATTCATGATATTGTAGCAACTCAAACACCCTGATCCAGTAAATGGATACAAGGTAGACAGCCAAGTACATTTTATGGGTCACAGAAGGCTTACAATGTTTTGCTTGACTTATTCGCTTTCAGAGCGGATGAATTGGTGCTCACATGACTTGCCTTCGCTTCAACAGGATGTTTTAAGTAACAATCACCTCAAAAGACTTAAGTTTCAACAATGCACCAGAGCTCACTTTTAAAATGTCAAGAGGAATGCATAATTGTGTATCTTTTTTCGACTGCACAGCTCCACAGACAAGCCATAATAAATTGCAAACTATACCATTTGGTTGACATTTGTTCAGTAGGTGCGCCGAAATGCTCCATAATCAGTAATCTGATTGAGTATAAAAGATAAGAAGTACAGCCCTATATAAGCCCTATATAATCCAAGGGCATGGGGAAGTTAATGACGATTAAGGTAATCTGGCAAAGAGTGCACAGTTGAATACACAAAACAAAGGTAATAAATGGTAATGCCATTTAAATTCTGATACAAACGAGTACAACATTCAAAGGTTTAATAAAAATTCCATCATACCTTGACTTCCCGCAGATTCATGCACTCATCCCAGGAATAAAACTTCCTCTTCATTCTGGAAGGTAAATATGCCCAGCGCAGACACAATACCTTATTAATGTGAAACATTAATGTGCCAAACGGATATTGCATTTCCTCCCCATCTCAGCCACCCTAATATGAATAGTAAAAAAACATCGAGTAGTTATTTAAACGCTGTACCTTGCAACAATACATTCTTGACGATATAAAATTATGGCAAAGAGCATTACATAATAATAACATTCCCTGAAACAAAACAAGGATTGCAATTTGTAAAGATGTTTAATGGAATAATGTAAAGAGACATAATGTATTAAACATTAATTATATTAAAATACAAATTACATGTAAGATAAAGATTAGGGAGTTCAGAGATCCAGTGACACTCATTTAAATGTTTAACACTATTTGCATTGAGGGTGGTGGGGGGCGGAGCTGTAGCGCAGTGGTTAGTTCACTGCTATATGAGCAAGCGACTTGAATTTGATTCCCAGCCATAGTTAAAATAAGTAAAACAATAAATCTGAATTGGCCTTTTTCTATCGCGCAGGAGGCCTTCATTCAGCAGCCGATTTACAAAGGGCCGTCATTGATTGCTATTATTATGGTTTCAAAACAAATGCCTCGTATTTTCTTTACTCTAAGAATTAAAGGCATTGACGGGACACTTAAAATGCCATGCAAAATGCTCGATCTCCAACTTAGCAGTCAAAACGAACGGTGTGCTTTAGCCACGTGCCTTACCGGCTGCATAGAATGCTGTGCACTGGGATTAATGCAATAATGGGGCGCACACCCCCTCCAGCACTACTGCCAATGTCACAGCCAAAGTCAACATGGCCATTTTGCCCTTATATTTTCCAACGCTCAATATTTCCGGCCTCAAACCCGTGTTTTATTCACAATGTCGTGAGTATATGGACATACGTTAACATCCGATGTTATAATTTCAAATGTGATATTTTATCATTACTAAAAATATTCTATTAGCTACATTTGTCTTAGCGTCTGTTCCTCCAGTATATCAAAACTGTCAAAATCGAAATTCAATGGAAATTTAAATGAACAATGAAAAAGTGTAACAAACACTTGTATTGTATTTATATTTTTAAACCACATTAAGAAACATCAAAAGCAGTGTGGTGAACACAAAAACAATAACTTGTCCTCAGAACAAAAGAGTCGCTTGTACAGTGCTAGACTGCCTGTGGCAACTGCCTTTTTGAAATTCAAGCTGACGCTTTATCCGAATGTCATTTTTCACACGAAGCTTGAACAGCTGCTTTGAAAGATAAATAAAAAGATATATGTAAAACCAACAATGGCTTGTTTTCAGTTTTTATTGCAATTCCATGAAGTTTTAATATACAAACGTGCAATATTTATTCCCATAATTATAACCAAAATACAACATGCAGGGTTACAAGCATTACGATTTCCAACAACACACTTACTTTTTGATGGCGACCAACTCCCCAGTCTCATTGCTTCTTCCCATGAGGACAGAGCCGTAAGTGCCATCTCCGAGCTGCTTTATTGTCGTGTACCGATTCATTGCAGCGCTTTTGAACGCAATCCAATATGGCAATGTTTATTCAACTAAGTTTTTCTTCTCCTCCTTGCACGGGTAAACTATAACTAAACACCAACTGCTGAAAGTGAAGTACAACCTTTAAGTCTTCTATTTGCGAGAATAAAACGATCTATGCCAAGCAGATCCGCTTCCATTTCAGCAAAAGCAATCCCACTGTCGTCATAAGCGCCTTATCCTCTACATCATCCGTGGATCAACCAAGAACCTAAAAAAGAACACGAAAATTATGATTGTTAACAACACTCTATTTAATTGTTTTTTTTATTACTTTGCACAGTATTATTGAAATTCTACATTTCTATTTTTCTACATCTACAACATTTAAATATTTGCAACCACTCTATACAATTAAAAAGACAGCATATGCCATTGCATGTATTCACTATGGGTCTTGTGCAATGATGAGATATGGAGTGACCTGGATCCAGAGACTATGGCAAACCTGTCTTGCTTATGTAAAAAAATTTACCCACAAAATGCCTATTTACTTAAATTACAGAATAATTTACATTGCATCATGTGTGCCCCACCTTAGGAATTAAGTACATTGCAATGAACAAACGTACACAAATAACTGGCAGAATAATAAAGATACAATTTACCATACATGCCTACACACACGCACTCCAGTTCTGGCTTAGGTGTGATGGATTTAGGTTTATAAAGTTTTGCAAATAACTAAGTACTGCGCTTTATATAAAAAAGACATACCTTCATAGTTAACCAATTCCACGTGCAAGTATTTTGTATTTGCACCTCCGATTAGGATGGCTGGCTACATACGGTGCAAAATAAGTTCAACATACATACATACTTTACATGTTACTTGTGGTTTCTTACATGTATGTATGTATGTTAAACGTCTTTCGCACCAACCGAGGTGGGGAATTAGCTAGCTTCACGACATTATAATCATTCCTTCTGGTCCAAGAGTTTAAAATCTTTTCATACATCAACAGGCAGTAGTTACTTCAAGTATGACATCTGGAAGCCCTTCCTTCACTGGAACAATGATTTGTCTTCTGGGCTGTGATTTGTTTGCTGTACAGATCTGTATACAATTTCTCTATTTTATGGTTCTGTCTCATGCAATATGGTTAAATCTTGCTCTTTACACTATTTACGATTCACCAACCATCAACTTAATTATTGCTTTCATGATACTGTTGATGGTTATGACATCTTCAATCACACTTGTGTAGTTCTCTGATTTAGATATGCATTGTTTTCCGAATGTATTTGGACAGTTCTGTGATTATCTTTTGTTAGGCATTATCAACAATTTTCATGCAACTCATGTTCTTCAACATTATCTGTTGTGCTTTGATATAGGTTTGTTCTACTTTAGCTTCACTTTCCTTCTGACTTTCAGTGCAATTTACATTACAATGCCATTATTTAAAGCAATTACATTCATATAATTTGGTTTAATAAATAATATTTTTCTTATATCCTTTTTTAATAATCGGCTTGCTGTGAATTTGTTGAGGACAGAGATATCTCTTACCATATAAAATTTGCACGTAAGTCTATTTATTTTCCGATTTCTCCATTAGAGCTCCTCCACATCCAATTGGTGGACTAATTTTAGAAAAGAGTGTTTGTTATCTTCTTGCCTCTGCTTACATATGCAGGAATCCCTCGCCAACTTCGGATTTGCCAACCGCGGTTTCACGTATACACGGTTTATTATTTGTATACCAATTTACCAACCGCGGGCTGGAAATCTGAGTATATGCGGGTAAGTACGGTGCTAAAGAAGCCACATGATGTAGGTATTCCGTTATTGCATTACAGCATGACATCACTGTGGTGCGTGACATAATTGTTACAAATTTCGCGGAGTCGTGGTTCTCTTCCGCGCGTAGCTGTCCATCTATCTTGTTGTACACACTGTACCGTAATTGCCGCAGCGCATACACCGCGTCGCATCGGAACCACATTCAGGTTAATTTTGCCCTTAATCATGGACTCGAAGCATGCAGCGTCTAGTGAAGGTAGAGTGTTGCGTCTGTGGCCCGGAGGAAGAGGGTGGACTGAGCCCTCCCTCCTTCTAAGCACTCCTTCTCCCATCACCTCATTGTCCTCGTCATCATCATCGTTTATATTAAAGTTAATGTCATGTTTATTTGTTTAATTTTCGTTATTGTGTAATGTACTGTATTTTATTCGGTGTTTAGTTCACAAACAGACAACTCATTTAAGCTACGACGAGTCTGACCATGGCTGTGGTTCCCCTAACCCCCTATTTCCCATAGGGCCGAGACTTCACCAACCGCGGATTTGCCTACTGTGGCATTTACCAGGAACCTAACCCCCGCGGTTGGTGAGGGATTGCTGAATAATATACATTCGCCTCTCTTAATCCTCACTCTGATGCCATATTTACCCATTAATTACTCATCTCGGCCATCAATGTATTATGTCCTCAGTTGGTTAAATTATTCATGCATGCATTGTCTTATTCTACAGATTTATGGCTTGTTGTTGGAGCAAATCATTGAATTACCTTTAACTTGTAGTTTTCCAGCCTCAATGTGTCACGCAAAAGTAGGCTTCATAATATATTAGAATAGAAAATGGTAAGTTAGAGTGCAAACATTATGACTTGTTTGAAAAGTAAATTGACATGTGAAATGACTCAAAAACATCGCGCAATATCATGCAGCTTTTCCTGCATTGTCTTCTCGCTTACTCGTAAAGATCAGGTTATCATTGGTTAAATGAATACACACTTTGAGATTGACACGTGTCAAAACTACTTGTGTAGATGGAGAGTTTGCCGTTTGCAGTTGTTTCAGGCTCAGAAGTGTCATAGCGGTAGGGTCACTGCAAAGACCCAGGAAAAGCAAGATTGCCTTGGAGAACAGTATGTCCCAACACTGTGGTTATCTATATTTTATGTGTTTACGTAAAGACACAGATACGTAACCAGTAAGCAGGGAGCTTCTACTGTTTAAAATGTGGTTTTCAAATTACATCCTTTTCTCCCCACTACAATCCGGGCTAATCATCACTATGTATCTCACAACGTACCACACACAATAGATGAATGGAAGATATGGGAATCTGGTAATGGCTTGTGTCTGTAAAAGGCATTTGTGAATCAACGGCACAAATATGGACAGAAGAATCGAAAACCTGTGCTGCATGCAGCAGCTGGGGTTTACTGATCACAACTGTTTACCCAGCTTAAGGGATGTCACTCAGTAAATAGTCACACCATACCATGTTTGCACAACTTACAACAATACACAAAGCTGTTCCATAATTATCCACGAGGTAGTTGCCAACCAGGATGACCCACCATCATTTGGCGTTCATGTCTATCAATTCGAAAATAAATGCAACACACAGGATAGATTAACTGTAAATGTATCGGCAACTATTGTTGATATTTTCCCCAATTTTAACCCAATTGGGCTCTCGATGCAATAATGTAATCAGTCGAAACATACATCTGGGAATCTCCCTGAACAGTGTCCCTTTATGTAAATGTGGATATAACAGAGCAACCCTCTGAGATCCCTTCATGTGACCTCTGGTCTGTGAAGTGCGAGACGACGCTTTCTCCCTACCACAGAGAGTAGTGTTCATCCCAAGACAGTCAAATCAATATTTTTAATTCCCAGGGCTGGAATTTAACCAAACAAAGTGCAGAACCAAATAATGTTTTTTTCTTCCAGTCATTAGTGTCCAGGCTGAGACTAATAAATCACTATACTTGAGCATCCAGTTTCATTACATTAGGGGGTGCACCTTCCTTCACCTCTCTGATATGGTAATGGTTTTGGGCGCATGACAGTACAACAAATAACATAACTCTCAGAACTTGAAATGTATCCAAAAAAGTGAAAACCAAACTTTCATGCGATATGAGAATAGGTTTTTCCCTTTTTTCTGACAACAAAACAGGTGTTAAGATGTTAACACCAAAATTAAACCTTTTACAAGGAATCATGCCTGCATTAACCACAATACTTGTGGTCAAAATGCAAACAAAAAACACACTCTGATAATATATGTACTGGCAAAGGAGGTCCCATGATGTTTCATGCGATAGTTTTTTTTTCGTGTAGTCATCTGGTGACTGAGTTGAGACAATGAGGTTGCTATACATGGAACCGAATTTACCACGGGTGGCTGCCTGCATTCGAACCCAGGCGCTCAGTGTTGTGACCTCTGAGCCAGCTGCCACCTTAGATTGACAACTATCAAGTGAGAGAGACGCCCTATCAGGGCTTTACACTCAGATTTGAACCAATGACTCGTAACAACTAATACATTTTGAGAGACGTTTACATTATTTGAAGTATGTTTTTACTATTAGTTAATTTTTAACAAATGACTAATATCAGTGTGTCAGTTGTAATGTGTGTTAGATAAGTAGCTGTGTGCCTCACGTTTTTAACTCCTTATTAGGTTTTCTAAACAAACTATGGTTCAGACTCTTGTAAACAGAGATCACATTCTCTCTTTCAAGCAGTACTAAAACGATTGCCCCGCATGAAGCATATTTAATGATTTATCTTTTTCAATGTAATTCTTCATGCACTATTATCACCCAAAGCGCCACTACGTGACTTTACCGAAAGAACCAAAGAGTGTGGATCCCTGCAGTCACGAAAACTTCAAATCTAGATCGTTACTACATCATTAAACAAAACAATTCTATGCAAGTTAAGAAAATAAAATAAAAGCAAACTGTGGCAGTCAGCTAGTTGTTGTGTGGCTTCAATGCAGTACAACCAATAATTTAACTCTCAGAGCTGCAAATTAGATTTTAAAAAGTTGAAGGAAATGTTTTATTGTGACAGTTTGTGTGCATTCATCTGTGACTGGGCTGAGACCATGACCTCACGACACAAGATAACTCGGTTTAATCACGGTTGGGTGCCTGGAGTAAAACTCAGGGTCTCAGGGGTACTGGCTCAGCACTCTGTCCCGAGTCACTCCTGTGTGTGTAAATTTGACATCTTCATGAAATACACAGGAAATTCTGAGACTGGACTTTCATTCAATTTGACAGAACCAATTACACCGTATACTCTGTCAAGTCAAGTAGTTCCAGAGTACAAACTTTTTTAAAGTGTGGAAACAATAATAAATTCTGATCTGTAACCTTAACTGACATGAAAATATGGTGGAAATTGTCTCCGTCTAGTATATGAGAAATCTTGACTTAGAAAGTAACTTTGTCCTACTAGTAATTTATCAGTTGTCACATACTAACACGATAGAGCACTGTATACAGTATTTAAGAGTTAATATACTATACTGAATATGGTATATCCATTGCATGTACTGTACACACGACTGTGCAAACATAAATGCGTATAGACAGTACACTATAACCTTGCAGAATGACTAACACACAACTTTACATTTCATTTATCTGAAAAAACATGGGCTCTTACAATCCACTGATGTCACACAGCTCTTGATTGTAAAAGTTAATCCAATATCTCACAACAGTTAACAGACAACTGTGCAAAACCAAACAGCAGTTCAGAATCAGAATATGTATTTATACAGGAGGAATCCGATGAGCTATAAAGCTCTTTTTCCACAGACTTCCAGTCGGGGCGGGTAAGAACGTTACAACAACAACACAAAAACACGATAGTAGTGCAGAATACAAGAAAGGCAATCAAATCACCCCAAAACATAAAACTAAACTATCCCCCATCCTACCAGGCAAAGCCCATTGAGGTATCAACTTGTTTTTCAGAAGAAGCGACCTGGCCACAAATGATAGCTCAACAAAGTGGCTTATCGCGTGGAAATGTATCGCAGAAAAATAATGGAATAGTATCAGTCTCTTCACGACTTTGCAGCTATTACCACCCATGAAATGTGATGACTAATGAAGATTTTGATAGGACCTGCAAGATGTGTTATCAAGGAAAACAGGGCAGTGTGCTACCACGACTACCGGCCAAAACATAGCAACAGACACACACCGCACGTGAGACAATGCATTATGTAAAGGAACACGGTCAAGAGCAACTGTACACAAAGTAACCCAAGCCACTCCGACAATTGCCGATAAAGCAGTCCATTAAGCACCAAGTTAGTTCATGCGATGTCTATTCAAACACTATTGAAGCATGCTGGCGGATGCTATTTTGTTAGTCTTAAGATGTGCAGAATTTAGCATAACCTGGACATATGTACGTGCTGAATGACGACGTTTTTGAAGTACTTTTCACTTTAACATTCAGAAATGGCAAAACACCAGTTCCGTACAGCTAAAATACCAATGTATTGAAATATGTAAGAGGAATGTTGAAGTATTTTTTTAAAAGTAACCAGCCACATTGAATTATACAAGTTTACACCGAGTTGTTTGCTGTATATCCTGTATATACTAAACATTAAAAAATTGTCTTACAATATTTGTTAAAATTGTCAGCCTAAAATTCAGTAGCTTTTGAACAGTAATTAATTCCTAAAAACATGGCACTCCCATAAATTATTCCATTTCACCTCCACCAAGTGAGACAAAATCACTTTACAACCCTCGTTAAGCAAGTAGCTAAAGATCTGAATTTGTACAACCACAATCAACAACAGTATCGTGCTGTAATCGCGTTGCTACCATGCTTCAATTTAAAGTTACACGCAGCGCTCAGGATTATCAGCACCGATGTCATGGACAAATCATGACAGACTAAGGCAACCCAAACACGGCCAAGGCACACTCGTTGATAATCATTGCAATCCAACAATATAAACGACACGATACACTAACCAAAAATCGTTACAAGCGAACTAGTCTTTTCACATATAAACTACCAACAACGTAAACTATTGAAAAAAAAAACAATTGTATGTTACTTGTAGAGCAGTGGAAAAAATATATTAAAAGAAGCACTTACTCTCCAAATCTTGTATGTTGTGAAATTTCCATTTTACAGTTATTTAATGGCGTTATTTATAGATGTTACATTAAATTTGCTTTGCCCGTTTTCTTTAAATATAGTGTGCATTTACATTTGGAACATGCTATTTGGTGCAGAGTAGATATATTTCTGGAGCGCTGGTGCATTGGCGCTTTGAACTTGAAATCCAGCGACCTCCAGTGTGTTTCGCCATTCATCCAGCAGTGGATTGACAAAACACTTTACATGTTAACGAAAAACAACACGACGTATCGTCTTATTGTTTCCATTTTCAGTTCGACTCTTATAAAAAAACAATTTGCATCATGAACCTATTTTTCACTCACGTCTCCCCATTTAAACTCGACTACTGGTACTACAAAATAAGCAATCCACTGCTGGATGAAAGCCACCCCTTCAGCCGTCTCTCTCGATGCTAGAAACCACTTAGCACCTGAGCTGGTTCCATTCATCGCTCCATCTCCACGGCGTGCGTCCTCTTGCACGCATTCCATTCCGTGCCTGTCATCCTGTCATCACGTTTGACAACTGGCCACCACGCCTTCTAGCGAGGCGTCCTGCCCATGAATGTACTCCAATAATTAACACAATTAAACTACGGAACATTTTTTTATTTTACCAGGTAAGCTCCCACTGAGCTGCTATATAGAAGCGACCTGGCCACGGATGATGGCTCAACGAAGTGACTTATAACGTGGCAATCTACGTCGGTCAAACACTCTAAACGCATGCTTTTGTAAATGTCTAGGGGGAGGGGGGGGGGGGAACCGGAGGACTCGGAGAAAAATCCACGCGACCACGGGGAGAGAGACACCGCAGACTCCAAATGTACAGCAGCAGGCGTCAGGGGTCGGGCACGAACCCACGACGCGCCGCATGTGACACGCCAGGTAGTGAACGTCCTCTTTAACCTGTCCGAATTGTGTATCCAACCTCGGCAAGTTACTTTGAACAATACCTTCAACTTTCTGCTCGGCTGCCATTCCAAATCACGCACCTTTCCGTGCCTCTTTGCGCCGTTTTAAAAAGTTTAGTTTTCCGATCCAGAAACACAAATTCTAAAAATCACAGCGTGCCCGAATGTCAGCCACGCAAACTCCTGACCCACCGCGTTATCCACGGAAGACGCTCGATCGCGCCTAGCAACGCCGATAGCTGCCCCCCCTCTTTATTTAAACACCCACCACCAACCTCCCATAACGCGTTAAACTTTAAATCCGCTCAAGGTACTCCACCGCAAAGGATAAAAAAAAACCACTCCCAGTAAACAAAAGCCGCGGCCTCGCACACGGCCGAGCCTACGGTCTTGCCTGCTCCGGCTACCCGGCCACCGCGGGGTACGACGGCAGGACGGTTGGAGGAGACGGGGGACGGTGGTGGCGGTGTAAAGAAGAGCGAGCCGCCAAAGGTGCAGAGAGAGACGAGAGAGAAGAGACGAGAACAGAGAGAAAGAGACGTGGGGGGGGAGTTGCGAGAGACGGAATCGAGGAAGCGGATTTACCTGCTGGGGACGCGGCGTCGTCGCCTTAGCGCTCGCTCGCTCGCTCGGCGCGGACACCCCCAACACCACCACCCCCACTCCCCCCCGTATCTCGGTAACCCGCGGTGACGTCACCTTAATAGACGCGCTCATTTGCATACGCGGTGTGACGTCACTCGGTGTGACGTCACGCGCACCGCGTGCCAATTGGCGTCGTTTTTCGCGGTGTTGCTGCTTTCGTCGTCGTCGTCGTCGACTGCTGCGGTCGACAGGCAACAAGACCGTACGCGACGGTCTTGTTGCAGGCAACTTTATTGAGAGGCACGCAACGGTCTTGTTGCATGCAACTTTATTGACAGGCACGCAATAATGTTGCCTGCAACTTTATTGGCAGGCACGCAATAATGTTGCAGGCAACTTTATTGAGAGGCACGCAACGGTCTTGTTGCATGCAACTTTATTGGCAGGCACGCAATAATGTTGCCTGCAACTTTATTGGCAGGCACGCAACGGTCATGTTGCCTGCAACTTTATTGACAGGCACGCAATAATGTTGCCTGCAACTTTATTGGCAGGCACGCAACGGTCTTGTTGCATGCAACTTTATTGACAGGCACGCAATAATGTTGCCTGCAACTTTATTGGCAGGCACGCAACGGTCTTGTTGCAGGCAACTTTATTGACAGGCACGCAATAATGTTGCCTGCAACTTTATTGGCAGGCACGCAATAATGTTGCATGCCTGTCAACACGCCTGACGGTGCTAGTTGTAATTGGTGGCGAAACGTCGTACTCAGATTGTAAATTTCGTGGATTTTTGTCTCCAACACACCGGTGTGCTGTATTAGTAACGAATTGGTATGTTTTGTTAACGTGACAAACCTTACTAATTGGCTGTGGCGGGTTTAACGGCACATTTATATTTACGCGATCTAACAAAAAGAAACATTATGGACCATACGGTGTACAGGGAAATTGCGTTTTCGGGTACATACGGCGTACAGCCGTTTCAATAGGGGCACATTTTTTTGTCTATTTGTTTGTGCTTCTCCCTTGTAATGTGACTTTCTAGGATGAACGTTGAGATTCATAAGGGCACGGGGTGACCAATGAAGTCTGAATTGATAAGGGGTTGACAGGTATGATATTGGCCCGATCGACGAATACGAAAGAGACGTCACAATGGCTAATCTGGCTTTGACCACCTCAATGTGAAATTGTAGTTGTTGCTCTGCATCGACATCAGCGGTCGTACAAAATAAGAACATGCTGCTGCGTTTGGAGTAGTGCAAAAGCATAAATAAAAATGATACAACTCAACGCGTTCATCAATAAGACTTTTGTGGCCTGAAAAGGAAAAGTATATATGATAGGCAACTTTTTATGGCAATGGCCCCTCTTCTTGATGTGCTCTGACTTAAGGCTACCACTTAAACGTCGCCCTCGTATTTTTACTTTTATGGCCATAGTGTTATTGACAAACGTGTTGAGTTTCATGTACGGTATTAGGTATACAGGTGAAGGTGTGGCCTGAGATTTCAAGCTCACACCACTCGCTGCTGGTGGAAGGGCTTCTCACCCTGGACAGACGTCTTGCAAAATATGGGATTCACATTCTAGGTTCTTTCGGTAAAGTCACGTAGATAGAAATATATATATATATACGTGGGATATGGGATTACCAACACTTTACAGCACCTCATTCGATCGACAAACTGGTGCACATATTTAAACTGCTGAGTGGACAGAGATCCTGTCATACGCGGTTTCGCCATACACTCTGCGATGGGTTTCGCGCGAACGAAGTGTGCCGCAAATTATGGGAGGAAAGAGCCAAAGCAAATCCTAATTTGTGAAACATTGGAAACGTCCACGGATTCCAGAGGAAGCATGACACGTGACTCGCGGATAGACGAATCCGCGATGAATACACAATATACACACATTACGAGGTACGAGTTGTCGATAGGCACAAGTGTGCCAAATCTGCTATATGGGTCTATGATTTAATAAAATGTTTGCATTTTCAAAGGCTTGTTATTCCATATTTAAAATTTAACAAAGCAATTTCCTCCTGAACAAACCTTCAGCACAGTCAGCTGGTTTTCATATACAAAAAATAATATTTGCAAATTAAAGAAAACATGACATCAGCGTTTCCCTGCAGCTGCGCTCCTGCAGTTCCGCACCCACCGCTATGGACGGACAGCGGTCCGTGAAACGTTTCGACTGCCATCAGTGCCGCGGATTACGGGAGCGGTCGTCAATCTCCAATAATCCGCGCTTTACAAGGATTCGCGGTTTATTAAATAATGTACATCGGCATTGCGTGGTTAAGTTGTGGCGGGCAGTGCCGCAAAATCCATGATTGTACCGTACGGCTATGGTTCCAATAACCAACCTGCACTGACCAGCGTGAAGAATTGGCCAAATAGCCTCCACGACTGGCACATTACGTGGGGAGGCCATCATCCAGCAGTGGTTGAACACAAAGGCTCTACATACACAAGCCGATGGCTCTTCTGCACGGACATCATTTATTTAAGCGGGGAAACAATTGACTGGCTTCAGATATTGAGATTCATCAACAGTTAAGCTTGTTAAGCAGCTGCTGCTGGTGTTGCCGGAGGTTATAGGCAATGTTCCTGTACAAATTTTGTGAGGCCCGTATATGGCAGCACAGAAAACAGAGTGCGATGCACTCTATGATATATTGGTGGATTGTGAATCATCAGTATACACTTCACAACTGGATGGGAGCCTCGTGGGAGTTATTGGATGATACTCCCGAGTAATTAAATAAAAGCTGAGATATTTTAACTGCTGAATTGTTGGTTTTCACTTGAACTACCTTAAAATAACTTTCGTTGTTTGTTTCGTCATTGAGAGATGAGCCACATGGTATATGAACATGGAGCAAAAATGTGGAACTGAAATTTTCCAATTAACCATTTTTTAATTAACCATTGCACTTTTTATTGCTATAGTTTCAAAGCACTCTACTGTTATGACTCATTGCATCCAGATAAAACATGGGTCTAATTAAAAATTAATATAAACAGTTGAAATGTATATGCATTCATGTTAACATACTGTATGCTGCACCTGGATTGCGTTATCCTATTGTTATTTTATTTGGTACTGCATTGGGCTTCTGTAATTTCCTAATTCTATGCAACATTCAACGTCTCCCAAAGTGCATCTACATTGATGCATTGAAAGTATAACAAAATTACAGCCCTTAGTCCATCAACTGCTGAATAAAGGCCTTCCCGCGCCGTGTCGATCGTTTGGGATGTTTGATCGCGCTTTAGAGGCCGTCCATAAATGACGTCACGCGATTTTGGACAATTTTTGACCCCCCCCCCCCCCCATCGTCACAAAAAGTCAGACCCCCCCTCAAATATGACGTCACAAAGCTCTGCCCCCCCCCCCCAAATAAAACATGCTTTAAATCGCTTTGAACTATTGTCATTGTGGCGCTGCACTCTGATGTTGTAGGAGAAAACATTTATTAAAAAGTATATTTAATTAAGTAGAACGTGTTGTCTATATTTATTTAAAGTTGCGCATATTTATGTGACGTTACATTTCTGAACCCCCCCCCCCCTAGTCACACATCGTCACAAATTTCTGACCCCCCCAACCCCCTAGGTGCGTGACGTCATTTATGGACGGCCCCTTACCACACCGGCAAGTGTGGGTTGTTGGTTCGTATATCACTCGCCGCCGATGTTGGGCGTTACTTGGAATCAAATTCAGGTCGCTGGGTGAATGGCACCGTCCGTTAACCACCAGCTCCAGTCCACGTAATTGATTTTGCATTATAAAATTGAAGAACGGAATTTAATCGGTAATCAAACAAGTATGAGGGCATCTAGCAATCACAGATAAAACATGATGTCAGTCTGCAACATAAGATATGCGTGCTTGGTTGGCAGGCACACACTTTATCACTGCTAAATCTAACCATATCCAAAACCCCTAATCCCTAACACTAAACCCTAGCTCTATCTCCTAATCCCAACCATTAACCTTCACCCTCGTGATGTCATCTCATTGTTTTTTCATGAGTGTTGATGCTCCAGGCAATTTGAGTGTTAATGCCACCTGCACTGTGAAAATTACCCTTAGCGAGCAGAACATCTCGCCATGCAGTGTGCACGCAGTGCCATTGCACTGGGGTCCAAAGATGAAAGGGGCCCAGGCAAGTGTCTACAAAGACGTGGGAGGGCGGGGGGGGGGGCATTTTATAACTTGCACCACCACCAGGGCATATACCAACCATGCTAGACCCTTAATAACATACTACACCCTGCATAAGAAAAGTCAATGACGATGGGAACCAAGTATAGTGGAACTCCGATTAATCAATTTGCTTGGGGTGAAACATATCATCCGTGTTTTTCTGCATTTTATTCCATCTGTGCAAGTGGTCAAGGCGCCCAGCTCCAAGCTCGTGTGCTGTTTCATTCAGACTCTGTCGCCTCGACAGACCTGGTTTTCACCTGAGGACGGCTGCTTGCGTTGTGGCCGAAACGTCGTGAGAATTATTTTATTGTGTTTTATTTTTTATTATTTTATTATTTCCCTTCTACGTGACTTTACCGA